TGTGTGTGTGTGTGTTTGTCTTTCTCTTTCTCTTTCTCTGTCACTCGGTAGCATAACTACCACCATCGGGTGCTCTCGTGGTCTGGAGGTTCGATGTTTGCCTCTCATTCAATATGTCCCGGTTTCGAAACCTGGCACCGACGGAAACTCTTCATCTCTAAATTAATTGTTTCCTTTCACCTCCTTCTCACATTTAACCATGTTCTGTCGTCTGCCTTCGTCTCCACTTTCTGCCACCACCCCGATCCACTTTGCCCCTACCTCTGGGCCCCTTACTGCCCCCTATTAGGCCTACTGCTGTCTTTCAGCCTCGCCTCTAATCTGAGGGTAGGTAAGATCTGATAGCTTATAACACTAGGCAGTTGCGAGGGCAGTTAACACCTGCCAAAAAAAGCGAAAATAGAAAAAAAAGCAGAAAAAAGCCACAAACAAAAAACAAACAAAAATACAAACAAACGGAAGCAAAAAAGAACCAAAAGAACCCCCCCCCCCTAAAAAAAAACAAACAAAAAAACAACACCATCGACCATGTTGAGCGGGAGGTATGGGCGTTCTTGTTTTAGTACTTGTGGTGGTCGAGCCTTTTCCTCGGTTATTTCCCTTCATCTCCAGCCCCTGCTTCACGAGTAATTAGATTAGCCGATCGTTAGGCTTACACATTCTTTCACAATACCGTATCGCCTCTCAACTGAAATGTGGGATGACTTACTGGACCAAGCATAGTTGATTTTGAAGGCAGAAAACTCAGTCACAACACCAGAGGACTCCTCATTCATGAAGTAGATTCAATGAAGTATGGTAAGGGAGACAATGACCTAAAAAGGTATAACTATACAACAATAAACAGAACATCATTTCTATTTTTTTTTAAACCTCATACTGATTGGGGTTACGTATCATGCTATTTACTATTTATTAAGCAAATAAAACACGAATTAAAAATTTTGCGTGTAGCCGGTTTGGGAATAACACCGATGTTATGTATGTGTGTTTGTATGGGGGGGGATTGCATGTGTGTGTGTGTGTGTGTGTGTGTGTGTGTGTGTGTGTGTGTGTGTGTGTGTGTTTACGTCTGACTTTTCTTCTTGCAATACATTATCGCGGTGGCGTAGCTCAAGGCCACCACTGATAGGTCCCCTTTGTTCCCTTTCCTCCTGCTGTTTCTGTCTATTAGTACGTCTTGCTTTCTCCCTTTAACTAAATGTCCATTATTGTAGCGATCTCTCTCTCTCTCTCTCTCTCTCTCTCTCTCTCTCTC